AAGCAGGGCGTAACTCCCAATGGGTATCTCCCTTTCGGTTTCTGGATGACCGCTCTAATGCTCTTTGCTCCTGTTATTTCTCAATAATTGTATTACCAAATACTTTCTTTTTCGAAAGGCATAGTTGCAGTGCTTTTACTAACTGCTACAACATTTTGGCTTTCCGAGAAGCTGTCTTAATACTGACATTTACGAATACCATAATTGTTTGCAGGACTTTTGCTTCTGGTTGGAACAAGACTGTGGGTGTGAAACCGCAGACCAGCTAAAAGATGCATGTACAGTGTTGTCTGGTCAATGTCTGCAAAAGGTGTTAACATTATTTTCCTAAGGCAGTTCAAGTCGAGGTCATACCATAAGGTTCAAGTGGAGGTCACATCATAAGGTACAGAGCGAGGTCACGCTATAGTCAAAGTACATCTGTCCGCAATGAGTCGTTAAGCTAAATATGCAAATAGATAAATGATGGCTTCATTTACATGGAAACTGTTTGTGCGAGTCCACTTTCTATAGCCCTGTTCACACGGCACACATTTGGTCCGACGCTGCACCGAAATATTTTGTTGCGATGTATTTTACACCGGAGCAAATTTTGTGGAGCGGTCACACGTGCAAAGCCGCTGAGCGTGACAACTCCGGCGCAGCGTCGAAGCAGCTCCACTTGCGGTCACACGTGCAATTTCTGCTCCGGACCAAAACGACAGGAATGCGGAAGTAAAACAGGTTCGGGTCGGGCTTCTCTCTCGCGGACTTTTATTTATTTTTCTTTTAATAAATATTATGGCGGACACTATTCTGTCCTTGTTCAGAATAGATCCACTTGTCGGCAGTCGTGGAATAAAGACGTGTTTACAGTCAATCGTGTGTGCTCCTTATGACTGACACAATATATGTTTTAAAAAATGTATACGAAAACAATGTGCGGATACTAAACTAAGGAATACTTGTTTTAAAACAAACAATTTGGATAAAACAGAGAATGCGATGTAATTTAATTGCTATTTAACTGCTAAACAGGAGCTCGGCCGGCCCGACCAGTGCGCACGTTAATTCCGTTCAAACAATCCTATAGAAGTAATTTCAGATATCTTTACCTATTTATTTCACTTGAATTATTCTATTTAAAGCCTAGTAAGCCGCAGGATTTCTCTGCATAATTAAGCAAATGCACATCGAGAATTCGCTTTGTCTGGCCTCTTATTCTGTATTTCAGCGTTATTTCGTTGTGCAAATGCATTGAACCGCTTAAATCGCCGACACTTTTACCGAGAACGGGGGTCCACGGCCGGGCTTCGACTGTGTCGCTGGCCCCCTTGTCACTGTCGACCGGGGTCGGATTCCGTGCGTCTGGTAGCGAGCGTAGCGAGGCCACTCCCCCGCAAGCGAGCATTTGCTCTGGAGCAAATTTAATCCAGCTGCGTTCACACGTGCACATTTGTTTCGGCGTAGCGTCGCAAACGAGCATTTGCTCTGGAGCAAATTTTTAAACCGCCTCCCTGAGGTGGATCAAATTTGGTCCGGTATAAGCTCTTTAGTGGAGCTACGCCGGAGCAAATGTGCACGTGTGAATGCTCGACTGGATTTATTTCGGAGCTGCGTCGGACCAAACGTTGCCGTGTGAACGGGGCTTATGACAGTTACAGAACAGACTTTAACAATGTGGGACCGCCAGTTGTTGCGCCTTAGAGGAGAAAACATTTCAATTCCGCTTCCTGCTCATGTACAAGGTCGGAAGATGACATAAAAAAAGAGGCCAGCAAGAAGGTACAATCACATGTTTAACTACTTTCTGAACTCTGTCGCTTCAGACGTGAAGTAATGAGCAGTCTTGGGGGCATATCAGTACTTGCACAGTAATAAACTTTGTCGTATTTTGTTCATAGAGCTTGGAAATGGTCTTATTTAGCTTCAAAAGAACGTATGAGCCAGCCATACCAACTACTTTCCACTGCATGGTAAAAAAATGACTAGGACGCTTAAGCTTCACATCGCTCAATGTCATAAAATTGCAATCATCCATCCATCCATTTTCTAATCGGCTTATTTTCACGCGAGTCGCGGGCGTGCTTGATTCCATCCCAGCTGTCTTCGGGCAGTTGGCGGAGTACACCCTAAACTGGTTGCCAGCCAATCGCAGCGATTGACAAGGGGTGGCCGTGGCCACGACTTAGCTCCGCCCTTGGAGGGGAGGAAGAGGAGAGAGCGTGAGAGAGCAGGTGAGCAAGAGCAATCAAGAGAGAGAGAAAGAGACTTGCTTTGCGAATGCATGTCTCATCCATTCATTGATAGTGTGCATGAAAGTCCCCCGTATTCATAAGCCTACAACCAATGTGCGATATTCTGTAAACATTACGTGTCCTATTATTTCATACCATACCATTACTCACACAATAAACTTAAACAGGTTTGATGAAAGAACCTCACAAACATAATTATGATGATGAGGTGTTTGTTAAGACTCTTGATTGATGATTTCACAGTGGACAGATGATGCAATGTGCTGTGTTGGTTATCTCAAGTACTGTACACCAGAACACACGACACATGGATGTTTTTTATTATCACGTATGGGATTCCTCATTTACACAAAATCTGTACTGTGGCTGAATGAGAAAATGATGGTTGAGGTAGTGTGTTCATTAAAAGTCCAAGTAATGTGCCACCAGTTATTATATCCCTTTCCAGCTCTACAGTATTTTTGTCCCCTTCCGTTGGACGGCTCAGCCTCCCTCCGGGCTGTTTGTCAGCACAGTTGCAACTCGACCCTGAGGAGAGGATGATGCAGGGCATTCAGACTGGCACTCACGCAGCATTTCCATCATTGCAGCAGTCATTCTTATGTTCATCTCGTTTGAGTCCCTCCTTAGAGATAATTATAGCTGCATCAGGCCCCAACTAACATTGTGGTGTTTATGTGTGTGTGTGTGTGTGTGTGTGTGTGTGTGATAAGTATATAAATGTTTTACTATGATGCATTTCCCCCAACAATATCTTTTTATAAGAACCCTCCTAGTACATTTGTAAAAAACCTGTATGGATATAAAACTGACTTGGCAGAGGTAAATATTCTGTTGGCGGCAGACAAGGGTTCAGCTCGTGACCTAGTTTTTGGTATATCATGTATATTTATGGTTTATGAGTGGTAACTTCATGCATCTAACTTTCTTGGACACCGTGATCTTGAAACAAGCATCTGCGTGTTTATCCTGAGCAGCTGCCAATTTCAAAATGAACATCTTGTGGTAGAGACCTGCCGTGCAAATCCGTCACGCAGCCAATGAGGAATCACTTCAGTTAGCAATTTTGCTCATTGTCGATTGGACTCTAATTCACTCAAATTGTTTATGCAATAAGTGGCACAGTGGTTGACTGGTTAGCGCGTCCACCTCGCAGTGCAGAGGTGCGGGGTTGGATTCCAGCTCCAGCTTTCCTGTGTGGAGTTTGCATGTTCAAAGACCGTGCCTCCAGGTACTCCGGTTTCTTTCCACAGTACAAAAACATGCATGGCGGGTTAATGGAACAGTCTAAATTGTCCCTAGGTGTGAGTGTGAGCGCAGATGGTCATTCGTCTCTGTGTGCCCTGCGATTGGTTGAAGAAGACGGCTGGGATAGGCTACATCATGCCCGTGAGGATGAAAGCGGTTCAGTAAATGGATGGATAGATGGATGTTATTGCAGTGAGATGTCTGTCCACTCTACAGATGGACCTTGTGTTTGACTGTATTTACAAGAATGAGTTTACTCACACATGTAATAATTGTTTAATAGCGTTGAGTGGCTTTTAAAAGATTTTACTACTGCTTTTGTTGACATCTAAATACCTGTGAACATGTTCGGGCACACGTCAAAATAAGTACAATACAGTACTCGATGTAGGTCTGCTGCGTTTCAGGGTGTCTGAGTCTTGAGTACTTAGCGCCATCTGATGGTGTTAAAGAAAAGGTACAGTCATGCCTAATAATCGCCCCGTGTATTCTCAAAACTGAGGTGGCAAAATTTAAAATGAGTGAATTAAATAAAACTGTTTCCCTGCATACATTTCATTCAAGCTAAGAAAAACAGAGAAACAAGTAACATTTTTTCCAGGGTTTTATTCCTTAAATTATCTTGTAAAATATCATTTACATTTGTTTTTTTTTTGGTCATTTACATATATCTTTTCACCGGTTAACAATTTTGGCTATTTTCCCTTTCCATCCCCCAGCCTGGCCACACATTGATCGTAGAATGTCCATCACCTTTGCCCAGACATTGTGCAATGGTCTCCAGCGCCAAAGTGGATGGGAGAAGAGGGGGGCGGTTGTGAGTGCTAGATCACACTTGTCTTGAAGTCAACCACACACAGAGGTAAAGGGAGTTCTGGACCTCCAACCAACAGCGTTCAGAAAGCCCAATGCAATGTTCCACGCCACAAAACACCAAAGATCTTGTCCATTATCAGCAATTCCCATCTTGTGATAAAAGATATTTTCAAAACATCCAGCCCTGAAAACTGTTTAGCCCTTTCGAGACTCTAAGTGATCAGTCTTGCTGTTCAGAATCAGGGCGCTTAGGGATGTTGATTGGTTCTCTGTGAAAAAGGTTAAATTCCTCAGACATGTCTATACTTTAGCAAAACCATTTCATTTACTGAATGGAACAATGACAAGACATCCAGGGCCGACCGCAAGATTTGATCCTATTATCGTTTGTTCTTCTTTTGGCAATATCACGTTTGCAATGCTTTTAAAAGTCACCTCTGCTGCTGGTATGACTCACAATGACAAGAGTTGGACGACTAAATGTGTGTGTGTGTGTGTGTGTGTGTGTGTGTGTGTGTGTATACACACATTTGAAGATATAAAGATTATTTTTAAAAAATGGTTGCACATATAAGGTGACTGGAGACAGTGTGAACAAGTTTGCCCCACTTAACGATAATTGGAGATTTGTTCTCAAATTAAAATCAAAAGACCCCAGGTGAGGCAGAACAACAGAAAACTTTTTTTTTTTTTTTTTTAAAGCAAGCAGTCAAAACAAAGTGTGTTAAATCAAACATGCCCTAAAACCAAACAATGGTATTTCGGTAAACGAAGACTTCATAAATCACACCTGACTTCTCGGTAACGTCAACGCCCATTGACAGCCTTTTCAGAAACATCGTGTTGATGAATATACACTTGCGGGAGGTCCCGTTGAAGTACAGAACAGGCAGAATTTACTTTATGGAAATGGCAGACATGAATTTAAGGCAATGAGAGTTGACCAACTCAACAGAACATAATGGCCAACTTGAGGTGCCAAAATAAACATATAAATCAACATATAAACTGCATTAAACACTGAAAGCACTGCATTAAATGTGCAAACTTAACTCTCAATGTATGACCAAACGGTCTTGTGGAAGGAAATCAGTTCGTTGGAATCGCCTCGTGCGAGAGCAAACCCAAGCTGATGCTTCTGAGCGCAAAGCATACCAATAAAATTTCTCACACTTGCAATGACAAGCAGGAGCTCACAACCATTACAAGAACAACACATTTGTGATGCTATAATGTGCTTAGATTCCTATTCAGATGTTAATAATGTGGACTATTTTATCTGGACGAGGGACACGGGGTGACAAGTCAGGCAGGTTTAACCCACTTATACAAAAACTGTATTTCACATTAGTATGGGTATATGTTGCCATCTCAGCAGCATATCAAACTGCGGCCTCTCAGTGACAAAGACTCCACATGAAGTGAAAGACGTCACTCTGAAGTTTCCTTTACATTAACTGTAAACAACCCAAATGTCCCCCCATGTGACATTTTTCCAGTGTCGAGCAGAAGCAATTAAGTGACGGATAATATGTAGTGTTAGTCGACAGCATATCAGTTATACAGATTTCCAGGAGGGGGAAAAAATACATGGCTACATATCACCTCTTTTAAAAGTAAACAAGTGATGATCTCTTCAGTTTTGGATTTGATAAGAGCCTTCATGCCCTCCAAGTCGTTACAATGAAAACAAAAAAACAACAACAAAAAAGCATGCACTGAACGGTTTTAGTCACACTTAACTTATCATGGCATCAGTGGTGGTTTGTTCTCAAGTGCAGAATGTTCTGAACTATAATAGATACTAACATCCATCGAACCCCGCTCTAAAAACTTACAACCACGTGCCTCCTGAAGCATCACAAAGCCTCTGCAGTTGCATTATACTGTATTGCATTACAATTACAGGTGTTTGTTCACATGCACTTTTTCGACTGTGACCGGGAAAGATGCAACAACATTGTTGGATCGGAATGGAAAACTTTGCACTGCTTTTTGTAATGATCTCCTATTGGACGGATTGCTTGGGATATGTGGGGAAACACAACATGTCCAACATTTCAGGAGGTTAGAAGTCTGGAAAGTCACACTGGCTGGAGCGCTTTGAGGTAGACAGAAAGCATGACAGAACACTTTCACATTAGATACTCTAAAACAACAAGGTTCATATATGCTTGAAGAAAATCTGCATGCATTTGATTTGTGGCCCAGACACCTGCTGTGACTCCACCTGAGACTTGACAGGGAACCTCTGATCTGGCATCGGGGCGGCTGCTGCGGCATCCTGGACCACAGAGGTTCTGAGATTTTTAACGCGGCTTGAAAGGGCTCAAAGCATACGCGCGCGCACACGCGCACACACACAAACACACTTGCACACACACGCGAATGAGCTCTTCACAAGAAAGGAGTCAACATTTTACAATGTCAAACTCTCAAGTCAACAGCAGCATCAAAACATTAGCCCGCTAGAAACCATTGAGGGACGTGGCAAGGGTCATTTACAAGGCATGACTATAAATAGAATATGGCATCGATCATTGTCTCAATAAGTCCTTTTGAGATACAGTACTTCCTACCTTGCCTTAATGGCAGATTTTTTTTTAATCTACATTGCTCTACAGAATCGAGATTCAAAAATATATATTCTTTTATTTTACTAATTTCCAGTGTAGCTTTTCTCAGTATATTTCAAGAATGAAAAAAAAGTCTTTTTTTTTTTTCATGCTGCAAGATCAGGTCGTTTCAGCAGAGACACATACACACACAATATACTCTCTCATATATAGATATATAATATTTGATGATTTTTTTTTTTAGCTTACAAGTAGATATTCTGAACTTCATTTTAAATGAGAAGTAATTCAACTTTTTTAACTCCAGATTTTCCTTTTAGGGGATAAAGTTGGAGAAATTGGGTAAGCACTACATTATCACATGACTAGTCAAGAGCAGGTAGCAAGGCAAAATGTAACTGTTGTAGTAGTACATAGTAGGTAAAAGGCCAAAACTGAAATCAGACAATGTGGCCCGACCAACAGTGAGGGAAAATGTACTACTTGGGAGTCCAAAAACACAGTCAGTCTGTGGGCAGTGGCGCATAAACGACAATGCGGAGCGATGCTGCTCTTTAAAGGTTCGGACACAACGTGGAGAAGTAAAACCCTCGCGCTACCTGGATCATCGGTACACCATGTGTGATATGGTGCCGGATTTGAAATTGAGCTGATGGTTGGGCACAAACATGTGCTGGGGATTCTTCCGCGTACACATGTCGTTGCCATACAAGCCCATGCATGAGTCACATGACACCTTGGAGCAGTTGACGCAGGTGTGGGATGCGCCCGGCTTGTTGCAAAAACCGCATCGCGAGCCTCCCATGCTTATGCGCTCGCTGCTGCCTCCTTTTGGCGTCGTCAAAGCAACAGACTTGCTTGGAAACAGCTTGGTGGACAACAAAGGTTTGTCCACCACGTGGGGGTGAGGGTGGGAGTGAGTGTGCGAGTGGGTCAGTGCCAAGGGGTGGGGGTGCAGATGCGAGTGGGAGTGCGTGTTCGAGTAGACGGAGAGCTTCTCCTTCACGGGAACGTAGCCGTCGATCGGTCGCGTGGATTTCGGGTGGTAGTCCTGCAGGCTGCAGCACGGGGAGGGCTCGACGTCGTGACACGCGGAGCATAGGATCATGTCGCACCTCTGGCAGGAAGCCATCGTGGAGCAGCCCAGTCCACAGCCCTGACACTTCACGCTGCCGTGGGATTTGAGCAGCCAACCGTCTCGCGCGTCTCTCGGCTCTCTGGAAGGAGGCCGCGAGGGGGTCTGCCTCCCGCTGGTGCCGCCCACGCCCCTCTCTGTGTACAAGTCAATCTCATCCAGCGACGAAAGGTGGTAGGATGTGTACGCATCAGCCGGCGGAGGCAACTGTGTGGGGAAGAAATCCGCAATGGGGCTGTAGGAAGGGGGTGCCGCCACGGAGAAGAGAGATACCGAGGTATTGGGCCTGATGATCTCATCCTTCATATCCTCCTCGGCGTCCACGAATAAAGGCTCTTTCCTCAAACTCAATGAGGCTTTCAGGATCGGTTTGCTAGCCGCCGCATGCCAGTGACCTGCCCCATCTGTCACGTCAACCGACTTTGACGGTCGGCTACCTCGCCTCAGGTGGTGAGTGTGAGGCCTCTCGATATCCAGAGGCTGCACAGACAGTCGAGCCATATCCGCTCCGAGGCTGTCGCGTCTGCGGAGCGCCTCGGCGCAGCCAGCTGCGTCATCCCTGCAGCCCCTGCGGAGTTCCAGGGCCTCCAACTCCGAAGCCGAACCGCGGGCCAGGGCCACGACCTCTCCCAGAAGACGACATTCCGCCTGGGCGAGGAAGAGCTCAAAAGCCAACTGCCGGAGATGAGCCGAGCCTCCCGGATGCTCCTGGAAATAAAACTGCGAGTCGTGGTCACAAGTGTAGCCGATCGTGCGCATCAGAGATCGAAGCTCGGCATCAGAAATGGCGGACTTCAGATGGTACACATAGGGGCCGGTGAAAGTCTGACAGAGGGAGAAAGAGAATAAAAGGGGAGATGCCGTGAATTACAATTGCCGTGGACATTTCAATATTTTTAGAATCAATGATTCTATTGGGTATTCCAACAATAAATCAGCCCCAAACTTTTTTTGCACTGAAATTTATTGCAAAATATTTTTATAACCACGACTGACTATTGTTATTTATTTGGTAGTGCTTAATGAATATAACTGGCCCAATAGCACACGAGAGGGAGTGGTGGTGTACTCACCTATGTTTTTACATCAGAGAGCTGATTTTTGGTTACTGAATCATGCGAAAGGTTAAAGCTTGTAAATTGATCTCCACTTCTGGTAACTCCATGTCAATTACAAGTTACATACTATGGTTGCAAAGAATGGTTATTTTCATAATAGATTAAACTGACAATTATTTTTCCCATAAATTGGTTTTAAATCAGTTACAGATTTGTTCCGCAACATGTCAGAAAATGGAAAAAAATGTTGATCATTGTTTTCCAAAGCAGAAGCAGATATTTGCAAATTAATCTGACCAAACACCAAAGATAATGAGTCTGCTTTCATGAAGGTCTACAGAAATCAGAGACTATTTAATGCTGAGTGGCTAAAATAAGATAGTTTGGACAGTTTAAAGATAAACAATAGCTGCAAACAATTTCTATCAAATTCATTCATGGTTAATTTGATGATCGGTGAATTAGTTCATTGTGACAACTCTAGAAATCAGTTACCGATGCTCATTTAAAATTACATGATACCATTATGAATTACCTTAATACATCTGAACTCTTTCTTCCAGGGGAAAAGTAAAAGATTGGTGCATATGGTTTCCAGAGTGTGGAAAGCTCTCTCCAGGCTTCTGAGGTTTCCTCCTCTTTGGCAGCGAAGGGAACCCTCAACCACTTCATAAAAGCGCACCATGCGGAAACGCTGTCCTGGATCTGGCTGGTAGGCCCCGAGGAGCGCCGTGGCTGTAGAAAGTAGGGCCTCGCTGTCCTTGTGCCTCCCGTTGTCCCCTTCATGCAAGTTTGCCATTCCATATTTTTCCCCTCCATCTTGAAGGCGCCTCTCGAGTGCCCCCACATATCTCCGGAACAGGTCTTCTTTTAACTTTGCATCCATTATATACAGCAGACTAACAGTCAGCTGGTTCGCTTTTTTTGAGAGCACATCACTCCCTTTTCATAATCTGCACAAGGATGTCACATAGAAGCATCATGTTGGTCAACCAAAACTCACTGTGTGCAGCAGCTCACACTCAGTGTTGATCACGTGGTGGGGGAAGTAGAAGAGAAACAAGACTCAGCAGAACATCCTCTACTCAAGAGATGATGCTTTCAATTGCTGTAGCTCAGCTGCAGGCTGCAAGGACGCCTTCTTCCGAGCATCTCTAATCGTGGCTCAAAGCCTGGCTTGACACACAGGCCAATGTTGTTTTAGATTGGGTCAGAATGGGCTTTTGTTTTACTGTCCGTTAAAGAAACATTGTTGTCAATCTGTTTGTGCTGCTTGTGCAATGATCCAAGGTCACTGGGACTCATCAAGTCAAGAGTCCCAATGGTGTCAATGGCCCGAACCTGCGTCAAGCTGTAATGACACAGGGCAACATTTCAGTGACACACACACACACACACACACACACACATCGTGAAACTTGTAATTTTTTGGACTGTTGTGATAAGTGCTTAGATAAGCAATTGGGAAAAAATACATACTAAGGTATTCATGTTCATTCAAAAGTGAGTGGTAACTTGTAATCATGCACTGCTGCTTCCCAGAAGATGTCTACGGGGATAACACACACACACACACACACACACACACATCGTGAAACTTGTAATTTTTTGGACTGTTGTGATAAGTGCTTAGATATATAATATTTGATGATTACATACTAAGGTATTCATGTTCATTCAAAAGTGAGTGGTAACTTGTAATCATGCACTGCTGCTTCCCAGAAGATGTCTACGGGGATAACAGCATAACAGAACTGCGTGACCAATAACATGATTCTTCTTACCAATATGTTTCCTGTCAACACCTCAGGCTACATGGTCAATTAGAAACCAATATATTTCGTGTCAACACATAAGTCTACATGGTCATTTGAAGTTTGGTGGTGGAAAAAACGGCATATTTGGCCTTCACTCGTCTTGCGCCAGTGGGAATGTTATTTGTAACGATTGTAAATAAAGCTCAGCAGTTACGGCCAGCACCCGTATGACTTTGATCGAATAAAGGGGGGTTGTTTAGATGCAATCTATGTTTGAATAATACAATGCAATCCTCCAAAGGTTTGGAATTCTGGTTATTACCGTCCACACGCACACACACACCAAACCGACCAAACTGAACTGACGTGAAATAGCGAGAGAGTTAGCGTACAACGCCTCAGCAATCCATGCCATTTGCTGCATCCATTCTGCCACCGTGACATATTAAGATTAAATGTCCTGCACGCCATCATACATTTAGATCGAACCCGAAAGGACCACGTAAAGTGTGGCAAGCCCCCCCCCCCAAAAAAATGAGCAAAATCAGTGAACGCCCATTTTACCGTAGTCGCTTAGCGTTAGCTACTAGGGTAATCTTCAAATCCAAATAAATAGCTTTTTTGTTTCCAGTCACGAAAAGGATAGCCTCAGTAAATGTCAACACTTGTATGATCACACTCCATTCGGCCACAGTTGACGCGTGCAACGTTTCATGACGAAAGAGACCACCCACAGCCGATCTTACCTTTGGCAAGTGCTAGCCGAAGCCAGCGAAGCCTGCTCAACTGTTGGAAATTCCCATCATCTCAGTACGCATGCGCACCACTGAATACGTCACATATACGTACTGTTCAGGCGGTAGGAGGGAGAGGAGAGAAGGAAAACTCAGGGAGAAAAGGAAAGCACTTGGCTCAGTGTGTGAATCATGTATTCCTATTGCATATTTCCCGACTACTTCAACATTTCTCAACCGTTTCAAAACATTCTGACGTCAACCTACTCTAGGCTGTCATTTGTCTCATTCCCCCCAAAAATACCACATTTCCCACAATGCCATATTAGCACAGAAAAATCTCCATTCACTTCCAATGAGAGATTCATGAAAAAAGTTCTACATGAATACCGTTCCAAAGTAAAGAAAATCGGCACACTGAAATCACCTTGGAAAATTTTCAAAATTAAAATAATTTCCACATGAAAAAAAAATTTCCACGATGAAAATTATTACATTCAGACATTCAGTCGATTTAGTCCCATTAGTGGTAACAGTGTGCATGTTCATTTAAGAGCTGTTATCTGTTACAACTCATGCTGAAGCACGCCACACACAGAGTCACACACACACACAGACCGACAAACTTGAGCCAACGTTCAAACTGAAATGTTCCTCTCCACTTCCATTTTAGCTCTATGTCACAATTGCCAATCATGGCTGTCCCGATAAAGTGAAGCGGACCGCAATGGAATTGGTGTGCACGTACACCTACCTGCATGAGTCCGTCTTACTTCAACGTTTCTTGTCCGATTCAAACCATCCCAACATTTTTTCCACATAAAAATTCCCACTTGCCCAAAATTAGACATTTTCCACGTTAATATTCCTAAATTTAAGATGTACTCTTTGCATGATTCTCTCCTCCCTTTTTAACATGTAATTAATTTATTCCATATCACTCTGCTTCATGCAATATGCAGCCATCCATTATTCGAACCGCTTATTATGACAAGGGTCGCGAGCGTGCTCAGGCCTATCTCAGCTGCCTCTGGCCTGAAGGCGAGGGACACCATGATCTGGTTGTCAGACAATCGCAGGGCACACGTGGACAGACCATCATTTACACTCACAATCACGTTTTTTGGGATGTTCAATTAACCTACAATGCATGTTTTTGGAATGCGGGAGGAAAATGGAGTCCTCGAGGAAAACCCACACAAGCACGGCGAGAACATGCAAACTCCTCACAGGAAGGCTGGAGCTCAGAATCGAATCCTTGACCACTGTACTGTGAGGCAGATATTCGGTCACCTAATGCCATATAATTTAATATTATTCAATATCATTCCTCATCTTTCCAAATAATTTGACAGAATTCCACAATTAATTCCACATTTCAGTTCAGCATTTCAGCATTCACATGCAATCTCATCAGAAATTGCATTGTCTAGGTATTATTTTTTGTATTTATTATTATTGTTGTTGTTGTTATTGTTATTTTTGTTGTTGTTCAAAAACATCCAAAAGTGATGTGACACGCCATTTTATTCTTATAACTTTCTTCAGATATATTTGTCTGTATATCACCGCACATACTAGAATAGAATAGAATTGAATTGAATAGAATAGAAAAGTGTAATACCCTCAAATTTGATCAAGGATGACACATTTGCTTATGCACTTCAGTCACTCCATTCGCATGAGCGGTAACAGAATCCATATTCATTCAAAACCTGCCATTGGCTACAACACACGCACAGGCGATCCAGCGTTCAAGTCTAAATGTCCTTTTGCTTGGTCATCTAAAATGTTCCTTTGCTCCTTTGCTGATGTCGCAACTACTCAGGCCAACACTCAAGAGTTAGAGATATGACATTAGATTATAGATTTACTGATGAAGTTTGTTCGTGTAGTTTTTTTTGGTATGAACAGGGTTGCAAACATTGAAAAAAATGTATATTTAGTGGCAATTATATAGTCGACTTGTTTATACTTTTCTTCTATAGTATGCATCCATCCATCCATTTTCCATTCTGCTTTATCCTCACAAGGGTCGCGGTGGGCGCTGGAGCCTATCCCAGCCGTCTTCGGGCAGTAGGCGGGGGACACCCTGAACTGGTTGCCAGCCAATCGCAGGGCACACAGAGACAAACAAACACCCGCGCTCACACTCACCCCTAAGGACAATTTCGTGTTCAATCAGCGTGCCATGCATGTTTTTGGAATGTGGGAGGAAACCAGAGTACCCAGAGAAAACCCACGCAGGCCCGGGGAGAACATGCAAACTCCACACAGGGAGGCCAGAGCCGGAATTGAACCCGGTACCTCTGCACCATGAGGTCAACGCGCTAACCACTGGCCCACTGGGCCGCCACTATAGTATTCTTCATTTAAATTAAACATTTGACATATGTCAAACATTGACATGACGATTGCCGTAACTGATGCACAATAAAGTAAAGATGGAAAACATGGATATTCTTCATTTAAATTTAACATCTGAAGTATGTCAAACATTGATATATGACTATTGCTTTTACAGATACACAATAAAGTAAATATGGAAAACAAATTGATTCATACAAATTAATTTTCTAATTTAAAAATAGTCATTTCATATATTGAATAGAAGATATAAGAATAGAATTGTCGAACTATAAGACGGTATAAAAGACCTATAACAAAGGCAATAAACAAAAAGGAACAATCGATCAAAAAATCTGGCGATATCTTGAATAAAATCATAATCTAATATGTAGATGAGCGGTTCAGAAAATGGGTGGATGGGCTATATGTCAGATTATGTCCATACATACCAGTGGTGTAGTGGGGATTTTTTTAAGTGGGTGTACGCGATTCTGGGATGTTCTCTATAGAACATCAATCATAGGCTACAACACCAGTTGAACTAACGTTAAATTTAATGTTTTACTACTCCAAAATAATCACAGGCCAACGTTATTAAGCATAACTCGCATTAGAACAATGATCAACAAACATTTCAATAAAAATTGAATGTGGCGTCGGGAGAAGTGGGTGGACGGCGTACCCCCGCGTACCACGCCCACTTCACCCCTGTACATAACTATACAATATATAAAAGCTAATTCAATTGCAATTAATGACGAAGGCAGTAGGCTCCGCCCGAGCCCAGGAGCGAATATGACGGGATCACGTGTTTGGTGTCAACCGAACGAACACAGTGGAGAGAAAAGAAATGGCGATGCTCGGAGCCTTCAGCTCAGCGCAGCACAAGAAAAATGTCTCTGACGCCAACAGCGACGTGTCCGAGTTTCTCTGTCCTGTTTGTCTGGAGATATTCGACAGTCCTGTCACAACACAATGCGGCCACACGTAAGTACTTTTGTCCCCACTTGACAGCGATTCGCTTTGACGTCGTCTGCCGTTAGCATTGCGTCGATTTAGGTAGGAAACTGATTTGACCTAATACGGTTCATGAATTATCGCATCGGCTCGGCTTGGCCACACTTTTCTGGAACCTTTGATACCTCTTTGAAGGCCTTTGTGCACAAAACGGACGTGCGTGACTGTGGATCGTTTTTCTTTCGTCCTCGGTTTTTTTTAATACCCACGCCTATACACCCTACGGTGTAAACAATGAGGGATGCAGCTAATTTCATGCCGTGTCTTTCGAACCTATCTTTGGACTAGAGTTAGAACACGTCAACTTATGCCCATTGTTTGTGTGTTATGCCGTTTTGGTGATTTAGCAAAATCGCTGCTCGTTTGCTCAGGAGCAGCTTTGTTTACATCAAACAGACCTCACATGGGAGTTGTAGTCTTTTTTGATCCTGTGTCGACGACGTCAAGCCATTCAAAAGACTACAAGTCCGTGCCACATACGATTGTTTGTATTGCACTGTAGTTGTAATTTGACTGACACAATATACAATGAAACGTTATTTGTAAGCGTGTACAAAGGAAACAGGTCCTAAAATGTTTATTTTTAGTCCAAAGCATTGGGTCATAATGAAGTGCCTTTGGTATCCTTATCAGTGTCACTCCATCATCATAAAACTGTCACAGCATACTCTTCTGAGACTTGGGTCATATTCGAAACCAGGGGTCGGCAACCTTTTACACTCAAAGGAGCCATTTTGACATGGTTTCGAGAGAAAAGACAACACTGGAAGCAGCAATTTGTTTTGACAAATACAATTATGACAACAAAATAGCTAAATTATAGGAGTTTAATTTCAAATCTGATATCTAGCCATTTTCCATGATTTTCTTGATAATCACAATCTCTCTTCCCTGAGCCGTCACCTTGTCATGGTGGAGGGGTTTTGTGTGTTCCGGTGGTCCTAGGAGCTAAATTGTCTGGGGGTCGTTTGTGCCCCTGGCGGCATCACCCATGACAAATAGGTCATAGGCGAGAGAGATGGGGTGCTGCTGACCTTGACTAAGGGCATTGTGAGTCTTTGGGGAGAATAGACATGCCTTCCTTTGAGGAAGCACAGTCTGGGGGCTCTGATATGGGCTATCCTATCTCTGCGGTTGAAGTTTCCAAGGTGGTTAAAAAGCTTCTCTGTGGCAAAAGCCCTGCAGGTGGCAGCCCGTTTTAAAAAGGATGACCAGATGGTGTGTTCCAACTATAGGGGGTTCAAACTCCTCAGCCTTCCTGGTAAGATCTATACAGGGGTGCTGGAGAGGATGGTCCATCGGAAAGTCGTTTTTCAGATTGAGGTGAAGCATTATGTTCCCGGCTGTGGAACAGTGGACCAGCGCTACACCCTTGGCATTGTCTTCGAGAGTGCATGGGAGTTTGCCCAAACAGTCTACATGTGTTTTGCGGGCTTGTAGAAGGCAACAACCATGTCCCTTGGGGAGTTCTCTGATGGGTGCTTCAGGAGCACAGAGTACCGAACCCACTGATACGGTCTGTTCGGTCCCTGTACCGAGTCTGGTTCCCATTGCCGCCAGAATGTCGGATTCGTTTTCAGTGAGGGTTGGATTTCGCCAAGGCTGCCCATTGTCACTGATTCTTTTTTATCACCTTTATAGTGAGAATTTCTAGCCACAACCAAGATATTGAGGCAATCCATTTTGGTGGCCTCGTAAGTGCATTTCTGCTTTTTGCAGATAATGAGGTACGATTGGCTTGA